TTAGCATGTGCATGGTTTCACGGCTTCTTACGACCAGCGCACCAGACATGGCGTTTTTGGGGGGAAACAGAACTATGAGGGTGCAACAGTTACATTGATTCGCGGTATTGAAGTCCCAGGACTGGCTTTCTGGCGCGATTCAGGATCGCCAAGACGCAACAGCGAAGCTGACCCGTCGCGTTGGAATCCCGAGAACAATGTTTTAGCGCGCTTCAGGGTCTTCAAACGGTTGCCTTCCAACGAGGCAGTTCTTTCAGTGGGAATGAACCTTTGCATGGGGCCTCTGAAGAGGGAACTCGGTGGGAGGGTTTATTTCAGATTCCTTTTCCGAGTGGGTTCGCTTGCGGGAAAGGGGATTCGGGGGCGCGGGTTCCAGGGGCTCTGGGGCGCAGGCGCTGGGCGCACTTCCCAGCCGGGGCGTTTGCCGCCACCGCGCTGCCGCTGGCTCGATTTTGCTGGGGGCGAAACCTTGGCCCATCTCTCGCGGGCGCCCCCCCGCAGACGAGGCGCCCTCAGTCGCGAGGTGCCTTGGGGTTGGTTCTCTTGCCCACATTTTGCCATGCACATCCGCCGGGAGCTGCAAATAACTGCCTCCCCGCGGGGGGGAAGGCCCCATGTGCCGAGGGGGGCTGGGCCGGAGAGGACAGACCGACCGCCGGCGCGGAACGCGCCCCGCCCCCCGCCCATCCCCGCGGCCTCGCAGGGAGGACGCACCTGTTTTTTTTTGTCCGACCTCCCGATTCTTCCACCCCCACCCCCCCTCGGGCAGAAGGCGCCGGGCTTCCTGCTTCCCCCCCCCGATTCTTCCAACTTCGAGGAGCGCCACGATCAAGAGGGTCGCGGAAGTGGAGGTGGAGGACGGGGGGAAGGAGGGAAGAGGAGAAGGGAGAGCAGAGGGGGAAGAGGGGGCGGCGCGCCGCTGCGCCCCGCGGCGATTACGGCGATGGCGCAGTCCAGCCATCACCAGCGACACCGACCGCGCGATCGCAGCCGCTCGGCTCAAACGGGCCGCAGTCATGGACGCTCTGCGGGAGCATGTGCTCCGCCGCAATGCTGCGCCCAGGCAAGGCGAAGTCGTGGCAGGCCGCCCAGGGCAGGCGAAGTCGTGGGCCGCGATCGTTCGCCACGGCGGCTCGTCGCCGCCCAGGCGCGTTGGCATTCGTTTTCTCCTCCCCCGTGCACACTGTAGGAAGCCAGTGGAGCTCCAATGCTGCCCTGGAGCGGTCGGGCGCCGTGCCCAGGCCGATTTTTTGCGATTCGATGCTCGAGGAGGCCGGCGCCTCCCCAGCGCCGCTGCGCCAGCGGTGCCGCGGGCGCTCGCTCGGGGCCGCGGCTCGCCCGGCGAAAAGGGCCCGGAACCGCCCGCCCGCGTCGCTGCAGGCGGAGTGGGCTGAAGAGGAGCGGGCTCGACTCGAGGGCGCCGGAAGAGCGGGTGTTCTCTCCGCTGGCGCGCCCAAGCCACGAGAGTCGAACGCCTACCCTCGCGGCCCGATCCTCAAAGAAAGGGGGGGCACAGGGGATGGCGACCCAGATGAGGTGCATTTCACGCCTCGTCTGATCGTAGACCTCCGGCGCGGCTGCGTGAACCAGTCTTTGCCGGACGTCGGCGCCCACTACGGGGTCGTGGACCATGCTGTCTCTCGCTTGGCCGAGGGCTCGCGGACGTTTGTCAATTGGCAGATCGACCCGGCAGATTCTACGCCGCCAGGGTTTTATTCGCCGAGCCGCAACCAATCTGGCAAGTAAAATGTTCTGCCAATTGGTTTGAAGCCGGCCCCCGGGATCAACGATGAATCCGTCGAAGAACTCTCGCGCCTGCTGCAGCTGCGGCGACAGGTCGATTTATTGGCTTTGTTGCTGATCCGTTGGGTTCCGCGGCTTCTGAAATCGAGAGCTGGGACCGCTTGGCTGCGCCAGTGGACCTCTGGCTCGACTGCGACATCCCGGCGAGTTCAAATCCGTCGGGGATCCGCAAACTTGCCACGTCGCAAACGTGGATCGGCTGGATCTTCGACGCTGGCAATACGCTCGTGACCGCAAGCGCGACAAGTGCTGCCGAGCGTGCGCGGCGGCCCTGGAGGCGGACTCCACCAGGGCATTGCTGAGTAGGCAGCTCGCGTCGGCAGCGGGCCGCGCTTCCTACTTGGCGGAGCTATGGCCCAGCGCAGGCTTCACCCAGTCTGGGCGGACCTTAACGCGGCTGGCGTTTACGCTGCTTGGCAGTCAAGTGCGTCGGCCGATCCTCCGGTTCGCCTCTCCAAACAGAGTCGATCCGCGTATCAGTGGATCCTGCCGGCCTTCGCGCGGCCCCAGACGCGGCCGTTATTTTGCCGCGGGGGGGCCCTTGTCATCGCGGGGCCCGAAGGATCCGGATTTCCAGAATCGGGGGGCCCTGGCCGGGCCGGGCGCCATCCGCGCGATCGAGACGGACGCGTTCGATCCCCACGGCTCGAGCTACCACGTCTGCAGCGACGGCAGGGCGGTCTCCGGCGAGTGGCCCGCTGATTTCGTAGACGTTGAGCGCCATCTGCACGCGGGCGACACAGAGTGCAAGGAGCTCTGGGCGGCGCGTGAACGCTGGCGCCGCGAGCGCAGTTTCTTGCTGGGCTGGGGCGCGCTGTTCCGCATGGACAACGCGCCAGCTATTCATTGCGTTAATATTCGGCACGGGCGGGTTCCGCATCTTGAGACGTTGCCCGCTCGGCTCGAATCAGCCGAGCGGGCCGTGCGCCGCTGGGCCCTAGCAATTCATTTGCCTGGCCGCGCAACGCGATTGCGGACGCGGGCTCTCGAGACAGCAGCTTCGGGGCACGCCGGGCGGCCGACGCTTTCAAAGACGCAGTGCTCCGCCAAACGCTCTTTCGCGAAGTGCGAGGACGTTGCGGGGCATCGTTCACGATAGATTTGTTGCCCAACCGCTCAGGGGGCAATTCTCTCGCTCCGCAGCGGCGCTGCCCAGAGAGGACAGCTTTCGAGCGCTCTCTTGGCGGGCGCGTCGCCCGGGCGCGCCCTCCCCGAGCTCTTCAATCGGGCCATATCGGCGGACCCGTCTGCGCGCGCAGTGCTCCTCTTGCCGGAGGATCTCGGGGTCCCCTGGTTCCGGCCAGCTCCGCTGGCGCCGCGGCGCCGGGCCCGCTCCTGGAACGCGAGTTCCGATTTGCTCCGCTGGTTCGCAGACCACGGCTTCGCAAGGAATGGCCCGAAATCTGACTTCTGTGATTCGGCTCTGCAGAGCTGGCCGCCCACCAGACGCAAGCGTTGACGAGCTGAGATGTTTGCCGGGGAAAACATAAAACGTATATACCTATATCAATATACATACATATATACATATATGCATATATACACTTATATACAACTATATACACACATATATGTACATATGTACATGTATATACACATACACATATGTATATATATATATATAACACACACGCACGCACGCACGCACGCACGCACGCACGCACGCACGCACGCACGCACGCAAACACACACACACACACACACACACACACACACACACGCCCCCCAATCCCCCCCCCTCGACCCCCCCTCGACCCCCTTCCCGCGCCGCTTCGTCGACCCCCCCACACCCCAGTCCAACTCGCCTTCTGCTTTCCCAGGGCTACTCGCGGGACAGGGGAGCTGCAGGGCGGGGGCGGGGGCGGGGGAAGAAGTCGGCGGGCAGGCGGGAGCGCTTCGGGGGCGGGAAAGAGTCACCGGCCCGCGGCGTCCTGTTCGAGGTCCGGAAGCAGCCCAGCTTTCGAGTATCTACCCGGTTGGTGCCGGACTCGGTTATTCCCAATCCTCTAGGGCGACGAGATCTATGCATATCCACTGCTCCTGGCCAGGCCCATCCTGGGCCCAGGAGCTGTGTATATGCCTCCCTGGCCAGGCCAGGAGGGCGTATACACCGCTCCTGGGCCCAGGATTGGCCTGGCTAGGAGCAGTGGATATGCATAGATCTCGTCGCCCTATCCTCCTGCGTTGGGTGCTCGTTCTGAATAAAGCATTATTGTCTCACGCGAGTGGGTCGGGCACGTCGCAGGGCCTTTTTTCCGCGCATGCGACGTTCATCCAAGTTGAGGCCGCGCCGACACCTGCGCCCCCGCAGGACTCGGCGTCGCCCCGAGGGCGCCTTTCGTCCAGCGAGAACCGCATGGCTCAAGCCATCCGTTTTCGCTGATTCACCTGCCAACCAGAAGTCGGACCATGGCTAGCGACTGGCCTGTGCATAGGCCGTTTTTTTTTGCCCTGTAGAAATGAGGATGTCCAGGAATGTCCGAATCACGAAGTTCTCGGCGTCTTCTATGGATGAACAAACATACCACAACAAACATGATCAAACGGGGACTACATCACCGCGAGCATAACATCAATCACAACAACAACAACAACAACAATAACATATTATATCGAACGTCAAACACCAGAGAACAAACATACCACATCAAATAACAAAGACACCACACATCATCAGACAAGAACATGAAGCATTAATGAAGAACCATACCACATCAAACATAGCAACAACATACCACACATGATAACAACACCGCGAATCATCAAACAAACCACAACACACATACTCAACAGGCAAACGACGAAGCACGCATAGTGCCATCATACAAGGCATGCGCTTAAAACGCAAAGAGCCAAGCACTGAAACCGACTGGCAGTTAAAACATAGATCTCACACGCCTAGAGACCCACAAGGGGTCGGCGGATTCCACTATGTAGCGCAGCCCGATCCCAGCCACCGCAGGCATTCTGGCATCCTTGCGTTACCTGTACAGACAATCAGATGAGGTTAGCTAATATGTTTTGCTATTAAAGCGCAGCCCGATCCGAGCCCCCCGTGGCACTCTGGCAGCCTTGTCTTATCTTTACAAACAGTCATACATATTAAACGGCAACTTGGGCATCCAGGGAATGCATCCTTACCCATCCGTAGCCATTTGGATTCAAGCCAGTTTGCTACAATGTCCGTCTGGGACGACCCGCGATCAGAGCGGTACGTTCCGATATGGAACCCAGTCACGCATTGTCTTAACTACCCTTGGTTCATGACGGACGACGACGTGGGCGATATTGAACGGGTTCCCGCTGACGTGTGGGTATACCGCTACAACAACAAAGAGCTGTTCGGCCGCTCGCGAAACACCAGCAGCAGGACGCCCGCCCCAGAGCCAGATGACGACGACGGCGTCCACGGCACGGGCGGCGCGGAGGCGGCCGACATGGCGGGCAGCGCAGCAGAGCAGGCGGCAAGCGACGACGACGACGACGACGCCAACATCATGAACCGAGACAACGCCGCAGACCAGCCGGCCACCATCGGCGACATGAGGACGGGTAGCGCCGACGTCGACGACGCGGGCCACGACGACACGGGCGGCGCGGAGGCGGCCGACCTTCCCGTGGACACGGCGGGCAGCGCCGCAGAGCAGGCGGCAAGCGACGACGACGACGCCAGCATCATCATGTCCCCAGACAGCGCCGCAGATCCAGCGGCCGTCGTCGCGGCCATCGTCGGCGACACGGCGACGGGCAGCGCCGACCACGACGGCGCGGGCGGCGCGGAGGCGGCCGGCGACAACCCCTGAGTGGAGGCCGACGTCGACGACGAGGACAACGCCAGCAGCAGTAGCAGCGACGAGGGCAATAAGCTTCTGACTCTGCCCAAGCGTCTGCGGCGGGAGTAGGCGGCAAGCCCGAGGAGGTAGTAATTATCATACTGGTGAGCATGCTCACTGCGCAGCAGTCATTGCCATATAATATAGTTCGTTGCCATGCCACCTCCAGGCTCCAAGGGCTTCCCCAATTCTGACAGAAAGTGGCACGCCCTGGGAAGTCACCGCAACAGTCTAGATATGGTAAGCTGTTGGAGTCAGCGACGTGCAAGTGTTTGATCCCACGTAGTTGTGGCAGGCAGTTGGACACAGCGTCCTGTCAGTATTTTTGACGCTTCGCGTATCCCCACCAGCCATCCAGAAACGACGCCAAGGCAAGTTGAGGTGACCAGGGAAGTCGCTTTAAGTGGTCTCAGTTGCCGCAGGGATATTCTTGAGGCCTCTTGGGGGTCACCTGGGAGCCTTGTGGAAGCCTCTTGCGGCCGCCTGGGCGCCTCTTGGGGAGTCTTGGGGCGCTCTCGGGGGGGCTCGAGGCGCTCATGGAACCATCTTGGAGGATATCGATCAAAGAAGGCGAGGGCCGTCATTCGCCCCACCTTTTCGGGAACCCCAAAAATCGCCTCCTGGACCCCTCTTGGAGCTCTCTTGGGCTCTCTTGGCGGTTATTCGGGGCTCTATTGGGCCCCTCTTGGGGCTCTCTTGGGCCATCTTGGAGCCATCTTGAGGCCTCGGATGACCATCGGAAGCGAAAAGGCGAGAAGGCAAACATCATTTATTCCCAACCATCCTGTGGTGTTGGGTCCTCGTTTTGAAGAGACGGTGCCCGCGTCCTCTCCTCTCCTCCTCTCCTCCTCTCCTCCTCCTCCCCCTCCTCCTCCCTCCTCCTCCCTCTCCTCCCTCCTCTCTGCGTTTCACCCACCCATTACAGCGTTTCGTGGCCCCATAGGGAGCTCCACCGAAGGCCCCAGTGGGGGTGTTCGCATGCGGTTCCCCCACCCAGGGCAGCGTTTCGTAGCCCCATAGGGAGCTCCACCGAAGGCCCCAGTGGGGGTGTTCGCATGCGGTTCCCCCACCCAGGGCAGCGTTTCGTGGCCCCATAGGGAGCTCCACCGAAGGCCCCAGTGGGGGTGTTCGCATGCGGTTCCCCCACCCAGGGCAGCGTTTCGTAGCCCCATAGGGAGCTCCACCGAAGGCCCCAGTGGGGGTGTTCGCATGCGGTTCCCCCACCCAGGGCAGCGTTTCGGGGAGCACCGAAGGCCCCAGTGGGGGTCGCATGCGGTTCCCCCCCCAGGGCAGCCCCATAGGGGAGCTCCACCGAAGGCCCCAGGTGGGGGTGTTCGCATGCGGTGCCCCCACCCAGGGCAGCGTTTGTGGCCCCCATAGGGAAGCTCCACCGAAGGCCCGCAGTGGCGGGTGTTCGCATGCGGTTCCCCCACCCAGGGCAGCGCTCGTGGCCCCATAGGGGCTCCACCGGAAGCCCCCAGCGGAGGTGTTCGCATTGCGGCCCAGGCAGCGTTTCGTTGCCCATCGGGAGCTCCACCGAGGCCCCAGTGGGGGTGTTCGCATTGCGGGTCCCCACCCAGGGCAGCGTTTCGTGGCCCCATAGGGAGCTCCACCGAAGGCCCCAGTGGGGGTGTTCGCATGCGGTTCCCCCACCCAGGGCAGCGTTTCGTGGCCCCATAGGGAGCTCCACCGAAGGCCCCAGTGGGGGTGTTCGCATGCGGTTCCCCCACCCAGGGCAGCGTTTCGTAGCCCCATAGGGAGCTCCACCGAAGGCCCCAGTGGGGGTGTTCGCATGCGGTTCCCCCACCCAGGGCAGCGTTTCGTGGCCCCATAGGGAGCTCCACCGAAGGCCCCAGTGGGGGTGTTCGCATGCGGTTCCCCCACCCAGGGCAGCGTTTCGTAGCCCCATAGGGAGCTCCACCGAAGGCCCCAGTGGGGGTGTTCGCATGCGGTTCCCCCACCCAGGGCAGCGTTTCGTGGCCCCATAGGGAGCTCCACCGAAGGCCCCAGTGGGGGTGTTCGCATGCGGTTCCCCCACCCAGGGCAGCGTTTCGTAGCCCCATAGGGAGCTCCACCGAAGGCCCCAGTGGGGGTGTTCGCATGCGGTTCCCCCACCCAGGGCAGCGTTTCGTGGCCCCATAGGGAGCTCCACCGAAGGCCCCAGTGGGGGTGTTCGCATGCGGTTCCCCCACCCATGGCAGCGTTTCGTAGCCCCATAGGGAGCTCCACCGAAGGCCCAGTGGGGGTGTTCGCATGCGGTTCCCCCACCCAGGGCAGCGTTTCGTGGCCCCATAGGGAGCTCCACCGAAGGCCCCAGTGGGGGTGTTCGCATGCGGTTCCCCCACCCAGGGCAGCGTTTCGTAGCCCCATAGGGAGCTCCACCGAAGGCCCCAGTGGGGGTGTTCGCATGCGGTTCCCCCACCCAGGGCAGCGCAGCGTTTCGTGGCCCCATAGGGAGCTCCACCGAAGGCCCCAGTGGGGGTGTTCGCATGCGGTTCCCCCACCCAGGGCAGCGTTTCGTAGCCCCATAGGGAGCTCCACCGAAGGCCCCAGTGGGGGTGTTCGCATGCGGTTCCCCCACCCAGGGCAGCGTTTCGTGGCACCATAGGGAGCTCCACCGAAGGCCCCAGTGGCGCAGTTCGCATGCGGTTCCCCCACCCAGGGCAGCGTTTCGTAGCCCCATAGGGAGCTCCACCGAAGGCCCCAGTGGGGGTGTTCGCATGCGGTTCCCCCATCCAGGCAGCGCTTCGTGGCCCCATATGGAGCCCCACCGAAAGCGGCACCCACAACGCGTTACCAACAATTGCTGATGGTTGGGTCTTTCGCCAGGATAATTGTTTTTAAGTTTTGGGGGGTTTGGGCATATCGGGGGCCTCCTTGAGGGTTTCGGGAGCCTCTTGGAGCCGTCTTGGAACGTTCTTGGGGCCTCTTGGAGCCTGGGGGCCATTTTGAGGCATGCTGCGCTATCTCGAGCCATCTTGGAGGCCATCTTGAGCTCTCCGAGCCTCTCTTGGAGCCGTCTTGGGCCATCTTGGACGCTCAAACGCGCCGCCGCCGCCCCCCCCCCCCCCCCCCCCCCCCCCCCGCCCAAGTCCAAGGGAGGGGGTAGAAGGGGAAGGGGGGGTTGGAAGAGGAACCTCCCTAGACCACGGGCTGGTGGGATTCCCCGAATTCGGCCTGCCTTGTTGAACCAGTGGACTTTCCGCGCAGTCTCCCGCATCCGATGCGCAGGGGGCCGAGCAAATCAACGCTTCACGCTTGACTCGCCATTGCAATCGGCTGGTGGGAATGCAACTCGCGAAATCATGAGGGGGGGGGGGGGGGGCATTCGTGAAACCCCATCTGGGGGGCAGTTGTGCAACCATGAGGGGGGCAGTCGTGAAACCATGAGGGCAGGGCTGGTCGTGAAACCTTGAGGGGGGACAGCAAGTCGCGAAACGATGATGGGCAGGGCAGTCGGGACACCAGGAGGGGGGACAATCGAAACACCATGAAGGGGGTCTTGAAACCGCGAGGGGGGCAGCCGTGAAACCACGAGGGGGCGCGCCACCATCAACAATAATCGCACAGCGCCACCGGCATTGAGGTCCTCTTGGGGCCCTCCTGTGACTTCGGGGGGCCATCTAATCCATCATTAACCATCGTATTAGCTGTAGCCATTTGGGCTTATGTCGCGGTTGAGCCGGAAGCGTACTAGAGCGAGACTATTGCCTTCACAGATGCCCGATGATTTTCGCTCGCACATGTTGGCTTGTGACAAGCCATTATTAAAATGCGTTGCTTGTGCGATGTTCTGGCATCTTGCTGTGAGTGGCTCGCGCGAAAAATGGTTGCGCTGTGATCCGACTGATGAATCATCAGACGCGTGGGTTGATGTCAAAACACATGGGAACTCAGAGTTTTCGCTTGGTTGCAACATTTGCGCGCGAGCAAATCTGAGAATTGCGCGGGGGCGGTGCTCGCGCACTTCCTCAGCCGTAGCGCAGGCGTGCATTTTAAAACGACATTGCAAAGATAGGAATCACTTGGCGGCTCTGGATGGACATAAATGCCTGGGCGAAGGCACTATGGGCCTGTCACCGCCGACGCAGGCCTTCATATATGTCATGCATGCGGCTCACAAAGGGAGGGCCTCTGGCGACGACGGGGCGCCTGGAGTTGGAAGACGTAAAAAAGTTACTCGTCTGAAGCATTGTCCGGGCGAAGCTTGCCGTCGCATCACGCAGCGCTTCCTGCGCAAAGCCAGTTCGATGACGCCCATGCAAGATGTGCGGCAACAATACCTGGGAGCGAGATTTCGAGCTGCAACGCCAGACTTGAAGGTCCGAAGTGGTTTCCTTGGCCTCGTAGATTTAACCAGGCTCGGCTACAGTGCAACATCGGCTTTTTTTTCAACAGATGCAACCCTGCAGATCATTAAGACAGCTGCAAGCGCGAGTAGGCCCCAAGGAAAACGTCGGAAGTGGGAAGTTGACAATGACCTTCAACTACATTTGCATTGGATCCTGGAGTCTTTCACAGCAGATGGGGCAGCCGATGAACAACTAGAAGGCCGAAAACTAAGGGCCATAAAAGTTGGTGACATAATCATTGATGACGAACTGTTCCCGCACTTACGTTTCGTTTTGAAGGATAAAGCCCACGCTTGCCGGCGCCTGACGAAGCTCGGTTGGGCGCGCGACTCAGCGCTGCAAGAAGTCGCCAAACGCTTCATACTAGCCAGGAGTTCGCCAGCGCAGCTTATCCGAAACCGTTTACCAATCAAAGCAGTCTTCAGCGGATTGGTCTTGGAAGATGAAAGAGCTGGCGATGCAGAGGTTCGGCTAGCTCATCCCGAAGGTCGCGTTGATTTGAGGTCTGCGAAGCACAGATTCGAAAGTCGCCAGAAACCATTTGGGAGAGCGGCCTTAAGTTTCTGGCCTCTCGCGCGGGCGATGGCCCGCGCCATGCGCGGGCGCCGTGGCAAGGAGGAAGGCCGCTGTGCCAAATCTTTCTTGACGTGGTTGTCCACAGAATCAGCGCTTGCATTGGCGATGATGGCAGATGCCGGCGACGAAACCCATTCCCTTGTGCAGCGATTCGAATCAGAAGATTTTGATCCAGCTAAACTCGCTGGATGGGTGCATGATTACTTGGACCGCATTCGAGCGCTCTACTTCGACGGTATATGCCTGCGCAGTGGTTAC